TCTCGCCCGCATGGTAAAGCCTGGCAACCTCCCCGTGACGTATTCGATATGCCAAACACAGTAACAACAATTCTTACGATGGAGATGTTACTGGGCCCGCTCGAGCAAATCGATGAATAACGGGAGGACCGGGCCGTGATACATATATTTCTGTTTTCCACTCACCTAGTCTTTACATATGTGCATGGATATGCATCCTTGTATATATTTCCTCGATATCAATTCAGAAAAAGTGATAAATTGTAATTATTTTTTCCCAGATTGCAAACCATGCATGAAATTAATGTTCACCCAATACCATCTATTTCCCAGGAATGTTGGTCAATTGATGGCGTCAGACCCCAGGTATACTCAGCTGGGATGCATGAGCCTGGGGTGGAGGGAGCAGTCCCTGAGACCTCGCTCTACGTCCTGTCTGCTGGTTCATGCTACTGACAGCCCTCCTGGGCACACCGCAGACCTTGTGTCTCTCCTTTGGTAATGAACTTCCCCAGAGCTCTATTGAGATGCCCCCAACATAAGGACTTCACAGACCCTGACCCTGACCATTTCCTTACCACCACGTGCTATTATGAAACAGATCATTCTGTATCTTTCCCATTCCTGCTGATTGATTCATTCAGCATGATATCCTCTAATTTTTTTCTATAGGAGAAATGTGACCTTGGTCACATGAAAATGTGATAGGAGAAATGTGACCTTGGTCACATGAAAATATGGGGTTATCTTCTCCACTGGCTCTTGTGCAATGGCAGGATTCCAGCTCAGGAATAAAGAGATATAAAGATGTACAAAGGGGCAGGGCTGCACAAAAATTCCAGAAGGGGCTCTGACCAACACCAGGACTTTATCTCAGAGAAAAGGATTTCTTGCAAATCGCTTGATCACTTGACTTCCTGTTACTCATCGATTAGCTCGAGCAGGCATAAGTATCGTCTCCATTCGTCCCTGTCACGTGCTAGTGTAGCCCGATGGCATCTGCCTGTTCTGGGAACATGAAGAGCCAAAAAGCGATCATTCAGCATCTTAACGAAGAAGTCTGACTATCTCCTAGGTGGGCGGCCAAGTGGTCTTTTGATGTTCCAGAGAAACCAGGCGGTAATGGCTCTGGTTCAGCGTTCGTCTCCAAATCTCATTATATGTCCAGCCCATCTGATTTTTGATGCTTTTGCAAACGAGACAGCATCCTTGATTCTTGCTCATCTATGGAGATCAGAACTCCGGATTCTTTCTCTCATTTGAGTGAAACGTGATACTCCAAGCATAGCTCTTTTGATTCCTCTTTGGGAGACCCGAATTGCATTCTCATCCTTTTTTGTTGGGCCCAGGTCTCTGAGGCATACATTAATACAGGAAGAACAGTGGAATCAAAGAGATATGCCCGGAGCCAGAGGTTCTTTGCCCTCTTAGCTATTTCTTTGAACTCTTGAAGGCGTTCCAAGCTGCTCTCTTCCTCCTGCACAACTCAGGTGCCAGGTCATTCGTCGTGTTGACTTCTCGACCTAGGTACACATAACTATTGCCTCCATTCGAAAAGGTCGTTTCATTGATAGCGAATGGAACGTCAGGAACGAGACTGATTCTCATAACATTGTCTTCATGAGATTCAGCTGTAATCCGACCTTCCCACACTCACGGTCGAAGTTGACTAGCATTTGTACTGCTGGCTAATGTTTGGTGTTATTAGAACGATGTCATCAGGAAAGTGGAGGCGGTGTAGTTGTCAACCGTATATCTTCACTCCCATTCCTTCACAATTCAGTCATCGTATGAAGTTCTCAAGGGTGGTACTGAAGAGTTTTTGTGAAATGGTATCACCCTGCCAAACCCCTCTCGTGACATCAATGATCACTTCTTTGTAGAATGGTGAGATCCTGGTAGTGATTCCGTAATACAGCTCACAGAGGATCCTGATGAGTTTGCTCACCCTGTTTGGCTAGGGCTTCGATGACCGCTTCTGTTTCAATAGAATCAAAGGCCTTCTTTAAATCAATGAATATTAGACAAAGTGGCATATTGAAATCCCGAGAACCCTCAATGAACTTGGTTATGATGTGGATATCGTCGATCGTGCTAAATCCTTTGTGAAAACCGGCTTTGTTGCATGGTTGTCCTACATCTAGTGTTCTGCCAATCCTACTCAGGATGACTCGAGTGAACAGCTTGTAGATGACAATGGGCAGATTGGGCGATAGTTGCCAATGTCGTAGATGTCTCCCTTCTTCCACGGGGACAAAATCTTGCATTCAGACAGGTAGCATGTGAAGTGTCAAGCCAGTGTACTGATGAGTAATGACTGAAGGTTCTTCAGATGTTCAGGTATGACATTTTCTGGGCCAGGTGCTGTTGATTTCTTCACTGAAATAGTGTGTCGGATTTTGGAAGGGCATATTTATCCTGTGAAATTTGGTATGTGGGCAGGTGGACGTGGCTATCAAAGAGATCTGAGTAGAAGTCATGGATAATCTCCATTGCTCTTTTGGAAGATGTAATAGATCCATTAGGACGTTGGAGGGCAGTCATCTTGGTCTTGTAGTTGGAGAAGGACAGGCGGGCATTGCGAATGCTTTTCCCGGCTTCTGCCGAATCTACCAGCACTGCTGTTCTTCTCTCTTTGAGGTCTTCCTTTATCACTTCTCTCCACTGCTTTGCGAGCCCAGACATTCGCTTGCGGTTGCCTAAGGCATACGCCAAGCCACGTTGTAGAATAAGCTCAAGAATTTTCGAAGACAGGCTTTTTTTTTGTGGCTATCTCACTCTTGGCGTTCTTCGCACAATCATGGAGGTGCTGAACCAGTTGATCATATTACTCGTCAATGTTGTCAACGACGGCATCTTCCCATGTTGCAGCAACAGTGCCAAAGAGCTCCCAGTTGGTGGTCGTTCTGGGAGTTCTCTTCTCAAACTTTGCAGCCCTTTCTCCCCGCTCTGTGAAGTAGAATTTTTCACGAAGAAGACGGTGGTCGGATCCCGTTTGGAATTTTGGGGACAACAGTGACATTGGTCAGGCAAAACTGTCCATTGAATATGATGTGGTCGATTTCGTTGTGGAACAGTCCACCGGGAGACTCCCATGTCCAATGTTTAGATTCATCCTTTCTAAACTGTGTGACTACTCATGGTCTTGGTTGACATGATGAATTCAGACAGTCTCTCACCCTGTTTGTTCCATTGTAGACCATGGGTGCTGATGTGGAGTTCTTGGGCTCATCTTCTCAGTCTATCTTGGCATTAAAATCACCAACAATGATCTTTAGAAGTTGTGGTCTTCTTTATAGAACCTCTTCAGTTCCATGTAGAACTTCTCAGTTTCTCCTTCATCATAATTGAATGTTGGTGCGTAGACAACGAAGATAGAAACTGCCGGCAGTCAGTCACATCTATTCAAGTGTAATAGTCCAATTTGGGTTGTTAGGCATTCGAATGAAGCAATGCTCATGGCCAAGTTCGTGTTCACAAGGACACAGATACCAATGATGCCTCTTTTATCTCATGTTCTGAGGAAAAATTCTTTTCCATTGTTGAAAAAGGCATGATGTGATTGATGCCTTCTCATCGCGATCAGACCAATGATCTCGTACTTGATCATTCACGCTTGTACCATCAGGTTCTCGATGGATGCATCTGATGGAACCGCACGTGCATTGAAGGTACAGATAGTCATTTTAGTCTTTCTTTGTTTTGACATCCTAGTTCGGCCTTGAAATTTTATCAGCCTCTCCTTCCACATCCTTCTCAATGCTGCCATATTGGTGGCTCCTTCAGGGTCAGGGGAATGAGACCCATTGTATTTACTGATTTTGGCATAGAGAATACTCCACGGATAGCTTGCCAGGCTCTACCATGCAGGCAGGATACTCTCGGCAGCTTGCCAGGCTCTCCGAGAGGGATAGAGGCTTTTGGGGCAGCCTCAATTCGCCCTTGTAGGTGTTCCCATGGTTCCAACCATTTTTGAACCCCATTATATATGGTGTGGCAATACTGGAAGATGCGTATTAAGTGTCTTATGATGTGTCACGCGGCCACTTTGTGGCCTGGAGCGTACAGGCGGCTGCATAGTGGAGGTTGTGAAGGTCCTTACAGATACAGAATTTAAAACAAAATGTGAAACATTGGGAGTCTGCCATGTATAGACCTATAGTAGGAACCTGCAATAACCCCCGCTCAAACTTCCATGTGGTTCTTCCTGTACCATCTGGGGCACTCCACACAAAATTCTAGATGAAAATATGAGTGATGCCAGGTGTTCTCAAGAGAAGCCATCTTCCTCTTGGCTGTTGCTGAAGGACAGAGACAGATCCTGAGCCTTTCCCTCAGATGACGCCTGGCCCTTTGAGCTCCATTCTGTGTCTCAGACCCTGATTCTCTGAGGAGGAAATCAGGAGGATCAGCGTCCCTCTCATCATCTCACCTGGTAGAGCTGCCTCCCCATCAGGTTTCTGACACATTCAGGACATGGTTGTCACACTGTGTCACTCACACAGTAATACATGGCCATGTCCTCAGTGCTCAGCCTGCTCAGTTCGATGTAGGCTATGTCGTTGAACATTTCTGCAGTGAGTGTGAGTCTTCCCTGGAACTTCGGTTCGTAGCTTGTTCCACCATCGTAAGGGAGTATGTATCGCATCCACTCAAGACCTTCTCCCTGAGCCTGGCGCATCCAGTGCATATAGTCTTGGATGAAGGTGTATCCGGACGCCTTGCAGAAGATCTTCACTGATGTCCCATGTTTTGCCACCTTACCTCCTGACTGCACCAGCTGTACCTGGGAGTTCACACCTGTGGACACAGACAGGAGTGGGTGGGCTCCACTTGGCTGGCCCCATTCCCTCAGCCTAAGGCATGGGGACACTTACCTGTAGCCATTGCCACCAGGAAGAGAATTTTCCAGGTCCAGTCCATGGTTGGGACTGTGCACTAAGGGGCTTCTGAAGGTGTTGGTGTTTTGGCTGTGTGAGGTTGTTAGGACACAGACACATCTCTATTTAACTCAGTGTCCTTCATCTAATTTGCATGTTCATGAGGAGGTAGAATTCATAGCTGACGACCTGGTCCAACCTGAGAAGGGGCTGGTAGAGGTCACTGGGTCCATCCTCAAGGAGAGTGAAGAGGTCCACGTTCTGATCCTTGATTGAGGAGATGAGACTCTGTCCTGTCCCAGGACTCTGTGCAAACAGAGCTCCCACTCAGTAGGGCCAAACCCTGTCAGTACCTTCTTCTCAGGGTCCCCCACATCTTTATGACCTGGACACATCTGGTCAAACCTGGGCTCTGAGGTTATTTCAGGAAACCTATAACTCCACAAGGTATACTACAACGAGACTGCAAAACCACCGTAATCCCAGTGGTTTCCATTGGAGATATTAAGAAGTCCAGACACACCACTTGCATACAGGTTTTACTGCCTTATCAATATGATAAATGTTCCTCCCAAAATGGTTAAGTATACACAATTTAACCTTCTGTGTCCTATACTTATTTTTATTTTGGTTTTCTCAACAAAGCAAAATTTAGTTTTCTGGGTTTTTGAATAATTATTTTTTTTCTATTAAATCACTGTGAGCTAGACCCTTACAAAGCTATTTGTGATTTGATTTCATGTTTCTGAAGAGAAACCTTTTCCATCTCTGTACCCACTTCAGGCCTGCAACTGTGTGCTCTTGGGACTTGGAACCCCTGCAGCCTGGTCCCCATCCTGCAGGGAGAGTCTCTGGGCTCCCAGGGGCATTAACCTCTTGGCATCTCTAATACAGGATTGAATCCTGGGAATTCATTTCAGAAGCCTTCAGGGTCAGGTGAATGAGACCCATTGTAATTACTGGTTTTGGCATATCGAATACACAACGGGTAGCTTGCCAGGTTCTGCTGTGCGGGCGAATACTCTCGGTAGCTTGCCAGTCTTTCTGAGAGGGATAGAGGCTTTTGGGCAACCTCTAATCACCCTCGTAGATGTTACCATATTTGAACCCTATCAAATATGGTAAGGCAATTCCAGAAGATGGGTATTTAGTGACTTATGATGCGCCGCGCGGCGGCAAAGCGACTGCGCAGGTCCGGAAAGCGTCTTGGAGTGTGGCGGCGGCTGGGTAGTGGAGGTAGTGTCAGTACTGGAGGTCTGCCAGTGGGATATTTATCTGGTCCCGGTAGGGGTAGAGTGGGTCTTCTGTGCGCAATCCTATCCCTGGGTCTCTGGTGGTTGGTGGAAGCAGACAGGGAAGGGTAGGGTGGGGCTCCTGATTATAATCCCTTTGTCACCTGTGGTTGGTGGAAGCAAGCAGAGAATCTCTGTCCCTGGGTCCATTGAGTCAGGAGTCCAAAGTCTCAGAGAGTTCCTCTTATCTTGTTCTGTGGGACTTAGGTCGTGCATGAGTAATTACAATGGGTCTCATTGTAAATACAATGGGTCTCATTCACCAGACCCTGAAGGCTTCACTAACACAGCAGCACTGAGAAGGATAAGAAAGGAGAGACCTATAAAATCTCAAGGCCGAACTAGGCTGCCACAATGAAGGAAGACAAAAATGATCATCTGTACTTTCAATGCACGTATACTAGCATCAGATGCATCCATCGAGGACCTGATGGTACAAGCGCGAATGATCAAGTACGACATCATTGGTCTGACCAAGACAAGAAGGCACAAATCTCATCATGCCGTTTTCGACACTGGAGAACAATTGTTCCTCAGAACATGTGATAAAAGAGGTGTCGGAGGCGTCGGTGTCCTTGTCAACACAAACTTGGCCAAGAGCATTGATTTATTCGAATGCCTAACAACCCGAATCGGATGTTTACATGTGAATAGATGTGGCTCACTGTCGGCAGTTTCTATCTTCATTGTCTACACAACAACATCTAATTATGATAAAGGAGAAATTGAGAAGTTCTACATGGAGCTGGAGAAGTTCTATAAAGAAGACCACACGTTCTACAAGATCATTGTGGGTGATTTAAATGCCAAGATAGGACCGAGAAGATCAGCTGAAGAACTTCACATTGGGACCCATGGCCTAGAATGGAACGAACAGGCTGAGAGACTGTCCGAGTTCATCATGTCGACCAAGACCATCCATGGTAACTCACAGTTCCAGAAGGCTGAATCGAAACGTTGGACATGGGAGTCTCCCGGTGGACGATTCCACAACGAAAGAGACCACATCATATTCAATCGATGGTTTTTCCTGACTGATGTTGCTGTTGTCCCAAAATTTTGAACGGGATCGGACCACCGTCTCCTTCGTGCAAAATTCTACTTCACAGAGCGGGGAGAAAGGACTGCAAAGTTTAAAAAGAGAACTCCCAGAATGACCACTAACTGGGAACTCTTTGGCACTATTACAGCAACATGGGAAGATGCCATTGTTGACAACATTGACGAGGAGTACGATCGACTGGTTCAGCACCTCCAGATTGTGTGAAGAACGCCAAGAGTGAGATAGCCACCAAAAAAGTCCTGTCTTCGAAAACTCTTGAGCTTATTCACCAACGTGGTTTGGTGCATGCCTCAGGCAACCGCAAGCGAATGTCCCAGCTCACAAAGCAGGACAGAGATGCGATCAAGGAAGACCTCAAGGAGAGAAGAGCAGAAGTGCTGGTAGATGTGGCAGAAGCCAGGAAAAGTATTCGTAACGAACGACTGTCCTTCGACAACTACAAGACCAAGATGACTGCCCTCCGACGTCTTGATGGATATATCACATCCTCCAGAACAGCAATGGAGAAGATTGTCCATGAATTCTACTCAAATCTCTTAGACAGCCATGTCCACTTGCTGACATACCAAATTCCACAGGCTGGATACGTCGTTCCCAATGTTCTCCCTTCCGAAATCCGACACGCCATTTTGTCAGTAAAGAAGCAAACAGCACCCAGTTCAGACAAGGTCAGACATGAACACCTGAAGAACCTGCCGTCAGTACTCATCAATACGCTGGCTTGGCTCTTCACACGCTACCTGTGTGAATGCAAGTTTCTATCTCATTGGAAAACCAGCAGGACTGTACTACTGACCAAGAAGGGAGACATCCGCGACATTGGCAACTATCACTTGATCTGCCTATTGTCTGTCATCTACAAGTTGTTCACTCAAGTCATCCTAAATAGGATTGGCAGAACACTAGATGAAGGACAACCATGCGAGCAAGCTGGGTTCCACAAAGGATTCAGCACCATCGACCATATCCACACGATAACCAAGCTCATTGAGGTTTCTCGGGAGTTCAAGATGCCGCTCTTTCTAACGTTCATTGATTTAAAGAAGGCCTTTGATTCTGTTGAGACAGCAGCAGTCATTGAAGCCCTAGCCAATCAGGGCATTCAAACAATACATCAAGATCCTCTGTGACCTATATTACGGATTCACTACCAGGATCTCACCATTCTACAAAGAAGTAATCATTGATGTCAAGAGAGGGGTTCGGCAGGGTGATACCATTTCACTGAAACTCTTCAGTGCCTCCATCGAGAACATCATGCGATGACTGGAATGGGAAGGAATGGGAGTGAAAATATATGGTCAGCAACTACACCACCTCCACTTTGCTGATGACATTGTTTTCATAACACCAAACATTAGCTAAGTGGCACAAATGCTGGCCGACTTCGACTGTGAGTGTGGAAAGGTCGGACTACAGCTGAATCTTACAAAGACAATGTTTATGAGAAACAGCCTCGTTCTTGATGCCCCATTCGCTCTCAATGGAACGACCATCTCCAAATGCAACAGCTATGTGTACCTAGGTCGAAAAGTCAACATGACAAATGACCTGGCACCCGAGCTGTGCAGGAGGAAGAGAGCGGCTTGGAACACCTTCAACAGCATCGAAGAAATAGCTAAGAGGACGAAGAACCTCCGGGTCCGGGTACAAATCTTTGATATCAGTGTTCTTCCTGCATTATCATACGCCTCAGAGACCTGGTCCCTATGCAAACAGGATGAGAACGCTATTTGTGTCTCTCAAAGAGGAATTGAAATAGCTATGCTTGGAATATCACGTTTCACTCAAAAGAGAGAAAGAATTCGGAGTTCCGATCTCCATCAACGATCAAAAATCAGGGACACTGTCTCGTTTTCCAAGGTGTCAAAAATCAGATGGGCTGGTCACCTAATAAGATTTAGAGACGACCCCTGGACTAGAGCTGTTACCGACTGGATTCCACTGGATGTTAAAAGACCGAGTGGCCGCCCACCTAAGAGATGGTCAGACTTCTTCATCAAGATCATGAACAATCAGTTTGAGGCTCTTCGTCTTCCTAGAGCGAACAGACGCCATTGGGCTACACTAGCAGGCGACAGGGACAATTGGAGACGTCACTGTGCTCCACTCGAGCAAAGCGACAATTAACGGGAAGTCAAGTGATCAAGTGGTCAAGTGAATAATAATAATAGTAATAATAATAATTCAATGGGCTGGAGTGTATCCTTTGCAGCCTGGAGGCCCAGGTTCATTTCCTGGTACCCCATAGTACCATGAACCCTGCAAGAGCAACCCCTAGTAATGGATCACTAAGATGCTCACTGGCACCGCTGGGTAAGGCCCAACCCCACCGCCCCACAACACAAAGATTTCTTAAAGCCCAGCTACAAATAATCCAATTTTTAAAATGGATTTAAGATCTGAACTCACACCTGTGAAGATAAGCAGATAGCATTAGGCTCATGAAAATGATGCTCAATGCTATTCACTGTTGGAAAACTGCAATTAAAACAACAACATACTTGGGAGCCAGAGAGGTAGTATAGTGGGCAGGGTATTTGAGTCACACAAAGCAGGCCTGGGTTAAATCCCAGTACCAGATAGAGTCCCACTGAGCTTTGCCAGGACTGAGGCCAGAGCTCTGCTAGGTGTGACTCCTCCCTCAACAACAAAAACAACAACAACAACAACAAAGAAAGCTTCAACCTTGGGGCTGGAGTGATAGTACAGTGGGTACGGAGTTTGCCTCGCACACTGCTGACCCACGTTCAATTTCCAGCATCCTATCTGGTCCCCTGAGCACCACCAGGAGTAATTCCTGAGTGCAGAGCCAGCAGTAATTCCTGAGTGCAGAGCCAGCAGTAACCCCTGAGGGGTGTGACCCCAAAAGAAAAACAGAAAGAGCTACAACCTTTCAGAAGGGTTAAAATTCAGAATACCAGCACCGCCAAATGCTGGTAAAGATACATAGTAACAGAAGATCTCATTCATTGCTAGTGGGAACACAAAATTGTGCAGTTGTCACCTTTATTCCCACCAGAAGCATGAGAGTCCCGATGGAGAGGAAGTAATAACTAAAGTGTATATACTTGTTTTTTTTAAGTTGGTATAAATATTATAATACAGAGAAAAATGATCCCCCCACCGAGAAGAAGAAAAATATGTAAAAACAAATGAAAAAGAAAAAAAGAAAGTGACTTACTGTCCCTTCTCCCCCTGCCCCTGGCACCGCGTAGGATCACTTGGAGCAGAGCGCCCCCTGGTGGCCTATCACCTCTACAGCTGCCCTGTGTCCCTCAGCAGGTTTGTGACTGGACTCACAGTGACTTGCCCTCACTGTGAGTCTTTTGCACAATAATACACGGCTGTGTCCTCAGTTACCGAGTTGCTCAGTTTTAGGTAAACTTGGTTCTTGGAGGTGTCCCTGGTGATGCTGAGTCGGGACTTAAGACTTGGGTTATAGTCTGTGCTTCCACCATTACATATAGTACCAATCCAATCCAGACCCCTTCCAGGGGCCTGGCGGACCCAGTACACACTATAGCTGGTTAGAGAGAATCCAGAGACGGAGCAGATGAGGGACAGCGTCTGCGAGGGCGTCACCAGGGTTGGTCCCAACTCCTGCAGCTGTATCTGCGACAGGACACCTAGGGACAGAGACCCACAGAGACTCACGGGTTCAGAGGCCCCATGCCCACCTTGGAGCCTCTGTCCAGGGGATACTCACATCTGGGAGCTGCCACCAGAAAGAGGAGGAACCAGTGCTGATGCATGTTCCTGGCCACGAGGTCCATGATCTCAGAGACCATGTCAGTGGAAGAGGGAGCCCAAGTTGGGGTGAGTGTGAACATGGTTTTAACCCTGGGTCTGGAGAGCAGATTTGCATGGGGGAGCCTCTGTAGAGGAAGAAGGGGACTCAGGGGAGGCTGGTGTGTGGCCTCCCTGGGAGGAGGTGCTGACTTTGGCTCAGAGCACTTGGGCCTGTCCCTGGGCCGGGAAATCTGGGCCTCTTCCTCCAGCACAGGAAACGTGCTGAGGAGCTCTCAGGAAACAAGAATTGCTGAGGCGGAAACGGCAGCAGTGGAGGAGAGTCCCCGTGTCTCAGGTCCCTGATGACCAAACCCAGTCCTCCCAGGGCCTCTACCCTATAGACAGGCCCCTGACCCTCAGTGGTGGCTACTGTTCTCCTACTTCATAAGATAATACTGGCACGTAATACACAGTATAATTGTCACAGTAAATTATGACTTATTCTGGTCCAATCCATGGTTAATCAATTTTCAGTCTATTTACTCTTGTCCTCATTTTTTTTCTAATTCTAAAAATACATGTTAAATAAATTGCCTTTTTAGTTTTTGAAGTTTAAGTCAGTGTGGGTTTGCATGTCATTGTGAAAAAGGATGAAGAATTCTTTTTTATTTCCTGTTTTCTCCTGGGTTGATAGCATAACAGGTAAGGCATTTGCCTACCGGGGTTTGATTCCTCCACCCCTCTCGGAGAGCCTGGAGAGCTACCTAGAGTATTCTGCCTGCACGGCAAAGCTTCACAAGCTACCCATGATGTATTCGATATGCCAAAAACAGTAACAGCAAGTCTCACAATGGAGACGTTTCTGGTGTCCACTAGAGAAAATCCATGAACAACGGGAGGACAGTGACAGTGACAGTTACTCTCTCATCTTGTATGAACATTTCTTCACGTGGGGGCAGCTTCAATCCTTATTGTCCAAGATGGTTGTCAGGGTGAATTTGTTTATTCTCTTTTATATTGGGACAAGGAAGATGCTTCTGCCCAGGTGACCTTCCTGGTGTGGTTGTCCTGGCCAATGGCACCTAAAATTGCTCTGTCCTATGTACAACTCAGTGTCCAAAAGATGATCATGAACATCAGGACCTTTTCCTTGGGGTTCATCACCGAAGAATTCCAACCCTGTACGATGCTTAGAAAGACACAGTAAAGAGTCCTCAGCACACAACATATTGGATCAGAGTTTTGGTCTTTCTGCAGATTCACACATTATATACAAGTACAGTGTGCAAGCTCTGAGCAGTGACTCGTGAGGCCCTATCCTGCTCCCAAATGCCTAGAACTGAGACACAGACTATGTCACATACTATACCCCTAATCCATGGAACACCAGAGGGTTCAGTTAAATCTAATGTGCCAGAGAGTTCGCTTTATCATTTGACGTTTAAAAAAGTCAGCATTAAGTATCAAAAGTAATCAAAGCACTCAACAAGTTCAACAAAATTCTACTAAAAATAAACACATAGGTAGAGAAAGAGCAACTTTGGCTACATGATTATTGAGATGGATGAATATTACACCTCATATACAAGGTGTTTCTAATAGAATTAATACACGTTCTCTTACATAAAGCACATGACTCGCTGTGGCTCTGTCCCAAGGCACCTGCAAGCCCAGGACGGTGAATTCTCACAGATCTGACTCAGCTTCACTGTCTTGTGAGTTCCATCACTGGCAACAGTTTCCGGGGGGAGATGGACCCCCAGACCTCAGATATAATCTGGATGGACGGGGAGAAGCACAATAATGGGACCATTTCCTAAAGCTACTTCACCATATCAACAGGAACTTTCTTAAATCTATGAAAACTTGTTTTCAACCAACGACTATAACTGCAGATTTTAAAAATATTTTTAAAATAATTTTCAATATAATAAATAAGATGAATTCATTTTTTCAATGCTTCTTGACCCATTTTCTGTGTGTTTCAGTCTTAGAGATCACATACCACTTAAATCACTTAACTTCCCGTTAGTCGTCGATTTGCTCGAGCGGGTGCCAGTAACGTCTCCATTTGTCCCTGTCGCGTGCTAGTGTAGCCCAATGGCATCTCTTCGCTCCGGGAATATGAAGGGCCTCAAACCGATCGTTCATGATCTTGACGAAGAAGTCTGACCATCTGGTAGGTGGGCGGCCACGCGGTTTTTTGACATCCCTTGGAATCCAATCAGTAACAGCTCTAGTCCAACGGTCGTCTTTAAATCTCATTACGTGACCAGCCCATCTGATTTTCGACACCTTGGCATATGAGACAGCGTCCCTGATCCTTGATCGTCGACGGATGTCAGAACTCCGGATTCGTTCTCTCATTTGAGTGAAACGTGATATTCCAAGCATAGCTCTATCTATTCTTCTTTGGGAGACCTGAATAGCGTTCTCATTCTGTTTGCATAGGGCCCAGGTCTCTGAGGCATATGTTAATGCAGGAAGAACAGTGGAATCAAAGAGATGTGCCCGGAGCCGGAGGTTCTTCATCCTCTTAGCTATTTCTTCGACGTTCTTGAAGGCGTTCCAAGCCGCTCTCTTCCTCCTGCGCAGCTCGGGTGCCAGGTCATTTGTCATGTTGACCTGTCGACCTAGGTACACATAGCTGTTGCATTCGGAGATGGTCGTTCCATTGAGAGTGAATGGGGCGTCAGGAACAAGGCTGTTTCTCATAAGCATTGTCTTCGTAAGATTCAGCTGTACTCCTACGTTTCCACACTCACAGTCAAAGTCTGCCAGCATTTGTGCCACTTGGCTGATGTTTGGTGTTATTAAAACAATGTCATCAGCAAAGCGAAGGTGGTGTAGTTGCCGACCATCTATCTTCACTCCCATTCCTTCCCATTCCAGTCGTCGCATGATGTTCTCAAGGGTGGCACTGAAGAGTTTCGGTGAAATGGTATCACCCTGCCGCACCCCACTCTTGACATCAACGATCACTTCTATGTAGAATGGTGAGATCCTGGTAGTGAATCCGCAATACAGCTCACGGAGGATCCTGATGAATTGGGCTTGAATGCCCTGATTGGCTAGGGCTTCAATGACCGCTTCCGTCTCAAGAGAATCAAAGGCCTTCTATAAATCAATGAACGTTAAACAGAGCGGCATCTTGAACTCCCGAGAAAACTCAATGAGCTTGGTTATCGTGTGGATATGGTTGATGGTGCTGAATCCTTTGCGGAACCCGGCTTGCTCGCATGGTTGTCCTTCATCTAGTGTTCTGCCAATCCTATTTAGGATGACTCGAGTGAACAACTTGTAGATGAGAGACAATAGGCAGATAGGGCAATAGTTGCCAATGTCATGGATGTCTCCCTTCTTGAACAGTAGTATGGTCCTGCTGGTTTTCCATTGGGACGGAACCTTGCATTCAGACAGGTAGCGAGTGAAGAACCGAGCCAGTGTATTGATGAGTACTGACGGCAGGTTCTTCAGGTGTTCAGGTCTGACCTTGTCTGGGCCGGCTGCTGTTTGTTTCTTTACCGACGAAATGGCATGTCGGATTTCGGAAGGGAGAACGTTGGGAACGACATATCCATCCTGTGGAATTTGGTATGTCAGCAAGTGGACATGGCTATCGAAGAGATTTGAGTAGAAGTCATGGATAATCTTCTCCATTGCCGTTCTGGAGGATGTGATGGATCCATCAGGACGTCGGAGGGCAGTCATCTTGGTCTTGTAGTTGGCGAAGGACAGGCAGGCGTTAAGAATACTTTTCCCGGCTTCTGCCGCATCTACCAGTACTTCTGCTCTTCTCTCTTTGAGGTCTTCCTTGATCACATCTCTGCACTGCTTTTCGAGCTCGGACGTTAGATTGCGGTTGCCTGAGGCATGCGCCAAACCACGCTGGCGAATTAGCTCAAGAATTTTCGAAGATAGGCGATTTTTTGTGACTATTTCTCTCTTGGCGTTCCTCGCACATTCATGGAGGTGCTGAACCAGTCGATCGTATTCCTCGTCAATGTTGTCAACAATGGCATCTTCCCATGTTGCCGCAATAGTACCAAAGAGTTCCCAGTTGGTGGTCATTCTGGGAGTTCTCTTTTTGAACTTTGAAGCCCTTTCTCCCCGCTCTGTGAAGTAGAATTTTGCACGAAGGAGATGGTGGTCCGATCCCGTTCGAAATTTTGGGACAACAGCGACATCAGTCAGGCAAAACCCTCGATTTAATATGATGTGGTCTATTTCGTTGTGGAATCGTCCACCGGGAGACTCCCATGTCCATCGTTTAGATTCTGCCTTCTGGAACTGTAAGTTACCATGAATGGTCTTGGTCGACATGATGAACTCAGACAGTCTCTCAGCCTGTTCCTTCCATTCTAGGCCATGGGTCCCGATGTGAAGATCTTCAGCTGATCTTCTCGGTCCTATCTTGGCATTTAAATCACCCACAATGATCTTGTAGAAGGTGTGGTCTTCTTTATAGAACTTCTCTAGCTCCATGTAGAACTTCTCGATTTCTCTTTCATCATAATGAGATGTTGGTGCGTAGACAATGAAAATAGAAACTGCAGGCAGTGAGCCACATCTATTCAAATGTAAACGTCCGATTCGGGTTGTTAGGCATTCGAATGTATCAATGCTCTTGGCCAAGTTTGTGTTGACAAGGACACCGACGCCTCCAATGCCTCTTTTATCGCATGTTCCAAGGAACAATTCTTCTCCAGTGTCGAAAACGGCATGGTGAGATTCGTGCCTTCTTGTCTCGGTCAGACCAATGATGTCGTACTTGATCATTCACGCTTGTACCATCAGTTCCTCGATGGATGCATCTGATGCTAGCGTGCGTGCATTGCTCCCACCACCACAGGTGACAAAGGGATTCTAATCAGGACCCCCACCCTACCCTGCCCTGTCTGCTTCCATCAACCACCCAGGGATCGAATTGTACACAGGAGACCCACCCTACCCAGATAAATACCCCCTGGCAGACTTCCACTCTCGACACTACTTCCACTACCCAGCCGTCGCCACACTCCAGGACGCTTTCCGGACCCGCGCGGCCGCAAGCAGCCGT